GTACACGTGCGTGAAGGGTGGCGAGGAACGGTAGAAGTGGGGACTTTTTTTTTTTCCAACGTTTATTTATTTTTGGAACAGAGAGACAGAGCATGAACGGGGGAGGGGCAGAGAGAGAGGGAGACACAGAATCGGAAACAGGCTCCAGGCTCTGAGCCATCAGCCCAGAGCCTGACGCGGGTCTCGAACTCACGGACCGCGAGATCGTGACCTGGCTGAAGTCGGAGCTTAACCGACTGCGCCACCCAGTCGCCCCAGAAGTGGGGACTTTTGGTGGCGATTGGGATGCAGTGGTATTTGTTTCATTTAATTACCTTTTTCTGGAAACTAAGCATAGCTCTTTGGTCAGGTGGGTGCTTAGATGGCACTGTTCCCATGTGAAGGTAAAAAGATAAGAGGCCACTGTTTTACATCCCCCAAAGGTGCCTGCTGTTGCCATCAGCCAGGTTCCAACGTTAATACCTAAGATACTTGTGCTGTTTCTAAGCTGATAGTTGATTTCATTCTGTTGGTATAAAGACATAGGCTGCTCTCTGACAGTTGAGGAAACTCGAAATTCACAGGCACAGAGCTCCAACTCCGTCCACACTGCAGTAAGCCGTTCTTAATCTCTGCTGTGTGTAGGTGATTTTCAGGAAGGTGGACTAGTCACTCTTTCTGCACTTGAGTATGATTGTTGTTTGGATCACAGCAATGACGGGCCTTTTTTTTTCCCCGATGCTTATTTTTGAGAGAGATTATGCACAATAGGGGGAGGGGCAGGGAGGGAGGGAGACCCAGAATCCGAAGCGGACTCAGGCTCTGAGCTGTCAGCACAGAGCCTGACGCAGGGGCTCGAACCCACGAACCATGAGCTCATGGCCTGAACCGAAGTTCGGACACTCAACTGACTGAGCCATGCAGGGGCCCCGGGCCCTTTTTCTTAAATATATTTTTTTAAATGAGAATCTCAGGATAAATATACAGTCACCGTTCTGAAGAGGCTTTGTGTAATTTGTCATTCTTGTCATTTTTTAGTGCTTCTAAAACTGAACACAGCAAAAGTATGGATATGGGAAATCAACATCCATCCATCAGTAGGCTTCAGGAAATCCAAAAGGAAGTGAAAAGTATAGAACAGCAAGTAATTGGCTTCAGTGGTCTGTCAGATGACAAGAATTACAAGAAACTGGAGAGGATTTTAACAAAACAGCTTTTTGAAATAGACTCTGTAGATACTGAAGGAAAAGGAGACATTCAGCAAGCGAGGAAGAGGGCAGCACAAGAGACAGAGCGTCTTCTCAAAGAGTTAGAGCAGAATGCAAACCACCCACACCGGATCGAGATACAGAACATTTTTCAAGAAGCCCAGTCCCTGGTGAAAGAGAAGATTGTGCCCTTTTACAGTGGGGGCAACTGTGTAACCGATGAATTTGAAGAAGGCATCCAAGACATCATTCTGAGGCTGACACACGTCAAGACCGGGGGGAAGATCTCCCTGCGCAAAGCAAGGTATCACACTTTAACCAAAATCTGTGCGGTGCAAGAGATTATCGAAGACTGCACGAAAAGGCAGCCTTCCCTGCCGCTCTCCGAGGACGCGCATCCTTCGGTTGCCAAAATTAACTCTGTGATGTGTGAGGTGAACAAGGCCAGGGGCACTCTGATTGCACTGCTGATGGGAGTGAACAATAATGAGACCTGCAGGCACTTATCTTGTGTGCTCTCGGGGCTGATCGCGGATCTGGACGCTCTGGATGTGTGCGGGCGGACGGAGATCCGAAATTACCGCCGGGAGGTAGTGGAAGATATCAACCAGTTACTGAAATATTTGGATTTAGAAGAGGAAGCAGATAGCACCTATGCATTTGACCTGGGACAGAATCATTCCATCTTAAAGATAGAAAAGGTCCTCAAGAGAATGAGAGAAATAAAAAACGAGTTCCTTCGAGCACAGAATCCTCCTGAATTGTACCTGAGCTCCAAAACAGAATTGCAGGGGCTGATCGGACAGCTGGACGAGGTAAGTCTGGAGAAGAACCCTTGCATCCGGGAGGCTCGGAGAAGAGCAGTGATCGAGGTGCAGACCCTCATCACTTACATCGACTTGAAGGAGGCCCTGGAGAAGAGGAGGTCCTTCGCTTCCGAGGAGCACCCGTCCCATAAAGCGGTCTGGGACATCCTGGGAAACTTGTCCGAGATCCAGGGAGAGGTTCTTTCATTTGATGGGAACCGAACGGACAAAAACTACATCCGGCTGGAAGAGCTGCTCACCAAGCAGCTGCTCGCCCTGGACGCCGTGGACCCTCAAGGGGAAGAGCAGTGCAAAGCCGCCAGGAAGCAGGCGGTGAAGCTCGCCCAGAACATCCTCAGCTATCTCGACCTGAAATCCGACGAATGGGAGTACTAACGTACCACAGGCCTCACGGTGGCGAGTTCTGCTCTGCACTTTATATATCCTTCTGTGTGTTTAGAGAGAGCTTTCGGTTCGTGGAGCCGAAATGGAATTTATACGTGCATATTTCAATCTCGCTATTTATGATTTAAGCAAATTCTATTCGGTATCTCTGCTGCTTTTGATGTTGCAAAACGAATATGATTACAGCACATTAACTTTTCCATTTGGATCATTATTTCTATGTTGTGGTGTGGTTTTTGGCGTTTTTTTTCATCAGAAAGTGGAATTGGGCAGCTCTTGTGATCTCTAAGTGGGTTGTGCAGGCATTAAAATGCAGACATTTCAGGATCTACACGTAGGCATAACCTCATACGATACTAGAACAATTATGAGAAGGGGGAAGATTTTTGGTTAAGTGGAAGTAACGTCCAAACACAAAAGCAATACGGTGATGTGTTTTATTATGCTGCGTAGAGCAGAAGGCTTTTTTTTCCCCCTTAATTTCTAAGGCCTGATTGGTCCAACCCAAGTTAATAGGGTGGGGGTTTTTTTGTTTGTTTTCAGATTTTCTGTTCTTTTCATAAGCGTTTTTTGTTTGAAAAATGGTGTCTGTATTTTCCCCCATACTCTGCACTTAGAGGGGAAAATCTTATTTTTGTGTGCAATGTAAGACAATTATGAAAGCTAGTAGCAAAGAAACCTTTGAGACTGCATCGAAGAAGGGATCAAACATCAAATTGCCTTCAAGTTGCCCTTGTTTGCACAACCTGAATCTATAATTTTCCGTAGTAATTAGTAAGGATGGGAACATTTAGGTAAGGTTAAGAGACCTTTAGAAAAAAAAAGAAAGAGAAAAGGAAACACCCTTACGTGTAGCAGGGTGATGAAGACCGGAGATTAGTTACCAATGTCAGGCTGCTAACACTAAGCCAGCACGTCTGAACGTGGTGCAGCATGGGCTGCCTCTGTCGTCCGAGACCGTGTGATGGACAGACTCCCTGAACCCACCTGCTGCTATCATACAGCGTCTGAGAGCAGAACCCGCTGCTGGGACCGGCGGCTGCGTGGGACCAGATGTTTCCAGCTTGTCTGAGGAAGTTCGCTACTCGCAGCATCCCACACCCTCGCACTCTGGGACGAAGCCGCAAAACAGCTCTGAGCACCTGCCTCGCTCCTTAGCTCGTGTCAATGGTCCCTGGGTGTTTCTCTAGTGCCCTCGAGAGCCAGTCGGGTCTGTCCACGCGGGACGTGTCTTTCCTCCTGCTGAAGGCATGCGTCTTTCTGTCAGTGCTTTCTGAGGATTCAGTTTCATGGCTGCCAGTCTATGGGAACAAAAGAATTTCCCGAAGTTCTGAAGTGCCTCCATAACATGTCGCTCCCAGTATTATAACAGACAGACTACTCTTTTCTGTTCCCACTTTTCACAGAAGAATCCTGTTAGAGCACATCTTTTGGACCCTATAGTCTGTAATTTTCTCTCAGAGATACTAATTTGGTAACTGTGTAAGCAGCTAAGAGTAGGAGATAAGGGAATAGCCCTAAATACCTAAAATGATAAAAGTGTGGCCCTAACAGATTTTCACTTTGTCCCATAATGAGAAGCCCTTGATGTGTCTTTCCTGCTAGAAGTGTTCTAGATGCAGTGGGCGGTGGGGTCAAAGGCACTGGCACATGTGCACGGGGCTTTCGCGTGTTGGGACCTTGAGCCCCTCCCTGTGCACACCCCGCCCCCGGCCCCTGTGGGTTCCCAGTGCAGGTCACTGGCAGCTCATTTTGGCCAAAGTCCTTTTAGGCCTGCTGTTCTGCACGCTAATTTTAGGGCCCTTTTAAATCTCAGAGTTCTTAAATTCAGTGCCGTCTCAGTCACCCCGCTGGGAGATCAGGGCTGACTCCGCCGCATTGGGCGTATCCTGCGCAAGGCTCTGCTTCAATTTCAACGTCAGATTTGGATGGAAGTCTGGCGTCAGCATTTCCTTCGCGAGCATCCATTGTTCTTTGAAAAGGGACCTTCCGGTGCTGTTCATTTCAAACAAGGTTTGCCGTAGCTCTGGCGGCGCTGGCCCGTGTCGCTAAGCCCGGAGCACTGGTCTGAGGGCACCGATGTCTTGCGTGGAGCCATGTGGATTTCCCACGTGGGTTATTTTGGTCACGGAGGTGATCGGGTCAGCCTTGAGTGAGTGTTCAGGCACGGCGTTTCCTGTCTCCCAGCCTGTTCCAGTTCCTTACACCTGATTATTCTCCCTTAAGGAACCCTGGTGACGCGGGATTTACGCTTCCTGTCCCCCGCAGGGCGGTGTCTGTTAATGGGGCCTGCCGCATGTAACCATAAACTGGGCTCGTTACATTGTATTGTATTTTCGTGACCTTACGTGAGGAGAACCTGTACTGGAAGTAAATCCTACCCCTCAAAACGTTTGGCCTTGGGTCTGCATTAAACGGTATAGTCCATGTTCAAGCAAAAACTGGCTGGGAATGTTTGCCTTCTTTACCTCCCGTGCAGACAGCTTTGCCTTCAGGGCGGTCCTTACCCAAATTAGATTAAAGTCAACCGACCTATAATGAAGTAGTTGTGAAAATAAAGGTAGTGAGGCTCCGCAGTACAGTGGGATGCTTTATTTTGCTACGACGAGGCGTGTGGTGTATCTGTTACAAGGTATCGTGTGTGAGACGGGGAGGGGGGGGCATCGCTTTTTCTCATGTTTTACTTTGCCAGTTTTTATCTGGTTTTTGAAAGTCTAAGCTTATCCTATACACACAGGTTATTTTTGAGCAAAGCTTTTCAGCTTTTAACGTGTCTAGTATTTTTCTAAGAATAACCGAAGAACTATTTGCCATTGGTTTCGATGTACAATACAGATGTGTTACCCCGGCGTGTTGGTTCCTGTCCCCTCTCTATTCGTTGTATGACTATTGTAACCGTATGTCTGAAATAATGCAGTATTTTGAGATATTAGTGTGCCCTTAATTATTAATGAAATAAAAATCTCCTAGCTTATCTTTGCAGTGGAGAAGGGATACGAGTCTGAGGTGTGAGTTCTGTTCTGATGTGTTCACCTTCACTGACTGCCTGCTTTGGGGAGGGAAAGGTCTTGCCCGAGCGGGCCAGGCGAGGGGAAGGTGGGCTCCGTAAGTCCGTTTGGCGGCAGTGGCCTAAGAAGGTGACAGCACTAAGGACAGGCCAGGGTCCTGTGACAGGTGAAGGGGTACCTGTGTAAAAAGCCCCGGAAGCGTGGGCGCCGGAGAGCGGCTCCCCCGGGGCCCGCGCGCAGGAGTTGACCTTCCCCTAGGAAAGGGGAGAGTCTGGGGAGCTCCTCCCCCCGGAGAAAAGGCTTGAGTTGAGGTACTGAAGCTCACCTCTTGCGGAGGGAGCTCGGAGTTGTGACCTGTCGGTCCTTCCGGGGCTCCCGAAATCGCGCCGCGGCCTCCGGGGCCCTCGGCCGCCTCCCCGCTCTGCCTCCCGCGAGGACAAGTCCCTGTCACTGGGGGCAGCCTCCCCGCGTGTCCTCCGCCTGTTACAGGAAAGCGGCAGCTTGGTTTCTCTGCTGCTCGCCTTCCACAAGCACTTCCCTGCTGTCTCCCGTCTACCTGCTGGCGTCTTCAGACGGTCCCGACAGAAGCAGAGGCGTGTCACAGACCCAGAGGTGCGTCACAGGCCCAGAAGTGAAAAGAAACCAGCTGTACGGGTTAAAAAGACCCTTGGGGGAAATTTGAAACGTGTAACAAATCCTCTGCCTCTGCCTGCACCGTCTACCGCGTCGGGCTTTGATTACTTCCGGACACTCGAACCCGGGTGGTCCCGCTCGTGCTGTGTGCTGAATGCTGTGCTGCTGGGTGGAACATACCCGTCGGGCCGTGTTGCCCCAAAGAACCCAGGGTGGTTAAGGTGCTGGAGGACATGTACTGGGCACCCCGGCGCTGTCTCTCGCCTAAACGTCTGGACATCAGGAGGGCGGGGCAGGTGCTGAGTGTGCTTCGCAGAGGCCAGGGGGCGCCACGGGCCGGAAGCCGAGGGAGGGGGCTCGGGGGGCCCCTAAAGGAGCTGGGCGGCAGAAACCCCGGAGCGGGCTGGGGCGAGGCCCTGGCGAGCAAAAGCGCCAGCTGGGGTGCAAGCCGGGCCCGAGCTGGGCCCCTGGAGGGGAGTGTGAGGTACCCAGGCTGTCAGGATGTGTCTGACGGTGGCTTCCATCGCTTCTGCTGTAATTTAAACGCTTCATTTCTCAAGCCATCGCAGGCTGGGCCTTTCTACGTGTCAGGCCCCGCGTGGAGCATTTACGCGCACGTTTACTTCTTGGAACTGTTCCAAGGCGGGTTTTAGTCTCCTGTTTCCTGGGTGATCCAGACACTCCGGTGTCACCTGCTCCAGGAACCGCCTTCCGTCACCGCCTGGGATGGTACCGGCTCAGGGCTCCTGCTGAGTGTTGGTTCGCCTGGAGGCTCCTCCCCACAGGGCTCCTGACCTTGTGCTCCGGGCCAGCGCCCCGGATCTCAGCCCTGCTGCTCCCCCCTCTCCCGCTGGGCCTCAGTTGGCTCCCACAGCACGGGTCCTTCGCACCGGGCGTTGAGGACTCCTAGCCGACGCACGCCGCCTTGGGCGCCGACGTCGATAAACCCTGCATCCTTTTTTAGAAAAAAGATGTGAAGTAATTTCTACACCCCATGTGGGGCTCAAACTCTCAACTGCGAGATCAAGAGTTGCGTGCTTCAGGGGCGCCTGGGGGTCCCAGTTGGTTGAGTGTCCGACTTCGGCTCAGGTCATGATCTCACCGCTCATGAGTTCGAGCCCCGCGTCGGGCTCTGCGCTGACAGCTCAGAGCCTGGAGCTGCTTCGGATTCTGTGTGTCCCTCTCTCTCTCTGCCCCTCCCCGGCTCATGCTCTCTCTCTCTCTCTCTCTCTCTCTCTCTCAAAAATAAACATTAAAAAATTTTTTTTCTTAAGTTTTTAAAGTTGCATGCTTCAACCAACTGAACCAGCCAGACACCCCTGCCACTGCATCTGTTTTAATGGGAAAACT